CATTTGTTTGTACATCAGATAAAAAATATAATGTGATAATTATTATTGAAAGAAATCAATGAATTTTTCAATGAGATATTTGTGAATAATATATTAGTTATTAAAATTATGTAATAATTTTCCAGTCCTTTCAATGCGAAACAAAATAATTCTTAACCAAAAAAATTCTTATAGAAATTCTGGATTTTTTCTCATAAATCATTAATTCATTGAATTCCTATATCTATTTCGACACAAAAATATAGTTATCATTATATGAAACAAAAGGTCCCATATTTATGGGCGAAAGGAAATGATTTGTGCATAAAATTGCATGTTTTTGAAGTGCGGAAACAAAAAACCTACAAGTTTTCAATGTTTTTCAACGATGTCTTTCTTCTTGTCGGTAGACATTCTATAACTTTAATATATCATTAAAATTCATCTCAATTCACATTTTTGAAATGTTTAGCTCATTATCAGACCAACAAAAATCAACAATGTCATAAAAAGTTGTTGTTTAATGTGTAGTTATGTTTATAATGTGTTTTAGATCAGAAGTCGATTAGTAACTCAATATATAAATAACAACAATAATAATTAAGTGAATTTAATTACAAGTTAAACATATTTTTGCTTGAATCATATTTAGATTGATTTATTTTGTAAATGTTTTCTCTTTGGTATTATTTATTTATTTTTAATGTTTGTTTAACTTATTTCTTAATTATTATCTCATAAGATATGTTTGATTTCAATTAATTGTAAGGTCTGTCCGGTGAGAGACAAGTGGACTGTCGGCTATAGGGCTGAAAGCAATGAAAAATAATATGTAATAAGAATACAAAACTTAATATAATTGAAATACACGTTTAGAAAATGCAATAAATCTAAAACTTAACAAAAACCCCACTTATAAGGACCCGAGTATTTAACTTTTGTGGCAATTATATTAATAACCAAACTATTTATTTAGGACTAAATCCCAGTAATTATTGTATAAAAATTATTTCATTTATTTTTATGTTTATTAAAATTTTTATTTTCTATTTGTTTTTAAATATAAGAATTATGTTTAGATTTGATTAAAACGACTCTTTCGGATGTAATCATTGATTGAATTGAATTTCAATAAAAATGATTTCTGAAGCAAAACACAGGGTATTAAACAAAACACAATTGAAAACAATAAACACAATAACAGTATTGAAATTCATTTGAAATTGTAATTAATTTATAAATAATATATAAATATTGATAACTGATGTGTTAAATACATGACAACAAAACCAAAAACCTCTCACTTATCGGATACTGAATGTACTCTAACTTTATATAAATATTGATTTGAATGCGAATTTTCAAAACACCAAGTTTATAAAACTTAAATGTAATGTCATTTGAATCTGTAATTAATTTCTACATATATTTTGTTTGACATTTTCTCAAAGAATATTCTTATCCATGAAATCATTGTTTTTATGGATTATATTTTGAATTTTTCAAAAAACTCAAATCCATTATTTCATTGATTAGTAAATGTTTCTCAATTTGTTTTCTCTTTCTTTAGTGTCGACTTATAATGAAATAATTATTATGTGTTTTAATGATAATAATTATTAATTAAATATATTATAAATATATGAATTAATAGATAAATTATGTATAAAAACAAATTGATTGTAACGCTGTTTGATCTCATTTTGACGATTAATTACGATTAAAATACAAAACAATTGATTTTCCCACACAATTGACAAACAAAAACAATTGGATTTTATTTATTTTACGGAAACTATTCATTAACTTTCAAACAATTTAAAATACAATACAATAAATAAGTCAATGATTGATTGATTTCGTTGAAAACTATTGAAATATCGATATATTGACAGAAAGAGTCACCAAAATTAGTCTGTCATTTACTCTGTGGTGCAAAGCTCTGAGATGAATGTCCGCCGGAACCGCTGGCAGTGTTGGCCGTTGTCGGTGCCGTGGGATCGACCGCTTGTCCTGCATTCGGGCGATGTTTGTTGAAGAACGCGGTGTAGAGTTCAATCTCTTTGGTTCGGTCCGTCTGGCCGTCGGCCGCGATGTTCTCAAATCTCCTGTCAAACCTGGCCTTCATATCCACCATCCGTTGCTTCAATTCTTGCAACCGCTGGCGACTATTCGTAGTGACGGCTGTATTGTCATCAGTTGATCCAAAGAAGTCGTCGAAATCCAAATCCAAGTGTTGAGCAGCGGTTTCTGCAATTTTCAGTTCTTCATTCAAAATGCATTGCTCTATAGCGTCCTCCACAGGTTTGAGTCGATTTATTTTGGTCGTCACATCGATGGAAGTGTCGTTTGTAATCAACGCAACCTCACTATCGAAGCCCAGTGCGGTGCCCTCCTTTCCATCTCCCCATTGATCATTACGTAAATTAGCGAGACGTTCAATCCTGCCCTTCATCCGACCAGAAATAGGGTCCAAAATGTCGGTCTCTGACTGACCACCCACTTGGCCCGCTTGATCCGCTTGATCCACTTGATCCGGTTGAGCCATTTGCTCAATTAACTGATCCCTAACGTCAGTCATTTGGTCTATGAGAGCTATTGCGTTCGTAAATTTTACAATGTCTTCCGAATCATCCAGGCACAAATCAATCAATCGCTGTCTAAACGCTGCCAATCCGTTGGCGTTGTAACCAAACTCTTGTAATTGAATTAACAGATTCTTTGCGTTTTCAAAGTCTTGCCTAATTTCAGCGTTTTGTTCGCCAATCAATTGATCCATCTCTTCATCGGTTGCCATCTTTTATGTGTCGATTTGCTCTTCAAATCGCTATATCTTTTATTTTGGTAATCGTTTGATGTCTTAGTTTTGGACTAATTTTTGGATTTCTTACTTCAAGATATTAACCGCCCGTTTAGTGTAATAAAACTCATATGAGATTAAAATCCCGATTAGATCTCGTTTTTAATAATTAGATTTAATCATTCAATTGAAAATCGTTTTTCAATAAAGTGTTGAATTTAAAAATAAAATCTAACGCGAGATGTGATTATTAAACACTAATTAAAATCTAAACCATTTAATGTTTTATCAAATACTGAATTATTGGTTATATTTAAAAATATAAAACAAGATTTAAATTTGATTTAAAGCCATTTTAAAGAAATATAAGAAAAAGTAATTAAATAAACACTAATGAATTGCCATCAGATGCTGAAGAAATAGACCACAAAAAAGTAGACAAAACTTAATGAATGAAAAATTATACAAAAACTATAAATTATAAGAAAATACAAACTAATAAAAATTTTATTGATCGCTGATTTGGTGCCAAAACTGTAGAAATCAATTACAAAACAAACAATGCATTTAACAGACAAAACACAATATTTTATTAGAGGATATGAGGAATAGTTGGGCGAAGAACTACTTGAACCAAATGTGAGACATGGCTTCCTCTGCGGTGAGCCTTTTGTCGACCGTCGGTTCGAGCAATAGATCGCAACACTTCTGTCCGTTGGCCGATATATTGGCCTTTTTGTTGTATTCATACGACCGGTTCATCTGCTTCTTGACGTACGCGCCGATAGAGGAGACCTCTTCTCCATAGGGTTTCTTCAGACACAACATCTCAAACAGTGAGACACCCATCGAAAACATGTCGGACTTCTTGGCGTCGTAGACGTGGCCCTCCTTCAGGATCAACAGTTCGGGCGCTTTGTAGAGATCGGTTCCGCAATTGGTTCCCTTCATGAGTGTCTCTTTGTCGACAGCGACACAACTGAAGCCGAAGTCGGAGAGGAGAGCGCTATTGTTTTTGTCGAGCAGAAAGTTCTCGGGCTTGAGGTCGCGGTGAGCGATGCCCTTCTTGTGGATGTGGTCGAGCGCTCGCAGTATATCGAGCGTCCATTTGCGACACTTGTCCTCTTCGGCGGGTTTCTTGTGTTTCTGGAGATAACCGCCGACCGAACCCTTTTCGGCGAAACCCATGAAAATGAACGCCGCTTTGCGTGTCTTAAACACGTCGTAACCCTTGACAATGTTCGGGTGGTTGAGTCTCATCGTGATCTTCATCTCCTGTTTCAGACACTTCTCGCGCCAAATCTCTTGCGATTTGTCGCGTAAGTCGAAACGCTTACACGCGAGCAAAACTCCCGGCAGTTTCGACGGATTGCTAGCCTTGTATACCTTGGAGAAGGCGCCCGACCCCAGCATTGGCCCCAATTGGTAGCCTTTGTTGAGCACCGCCTGCGGCACCAATTCGTTGCCGACGCTGTCCGCCGACGACTGGCTGTCGATATCAAACTTCATTACACTCTTCTCCTGCGGCACCGGTTTTCCAGACATTGCTTTTTCTTTGTCACACAACAGATCTATTGTCTGTCCAATCAGTTCTTCAACAGAAAGTTTTGTCACAAATATTACTTCAAAAATTACAAGTTTTTTTCACAGTTGTATTTCAATTCAAATCTGACTTAAAAGTCGTTGAAATTTAAATTTAAACAAAAATTTACGAAACAATTAACTGCAGAAAACAATGTTAATTATTACCGTCAATAAAAACGTGCATTAATTAATGATTTGTATTTTTGTATTATGTATAAGACTTTATAAGTGTTTAATTTTAATTTTTTTGTAATACTTGGGAACAGACAGCGAGAGATGGTTAAAAAGTTCATTCACTGTACTTTACTTTCATATCCTAATAAACTATAGATCTTTAAAACTCATAAAAATTGATGAAAATTTGAATAAATTGTATTTTCAAGCATTTTTATGAATCAATAATTTGGAGCAAATAATACAATAAATTTTGGGAACAAAATAATTTTTTCCACACATTTTGTGTGACTTTTAATGATTTTTACTATGAATTTACAAAATAATATATAAACATTAATATTTAAAAATATTTATCTGATTTAAAACTATAGATAATTCTTGCGATTATTGAGTGAAACTTTTTATTTATCCAATGTTTGGGAAACTATATTAAAAAACATAATCAATTCATTAGAAACATTAAAATAATGGTAAAAATCCAATAAATTATTGGCAATAATTACCAAGGATCTTTTAATTTGGATACTTACATCATTTCTATGCCTGTCAAGCAATTTATGTCTATATTTGATGGATATATTGGCACTCGTATGGCAACCACTTGTCTCATACAAGTCGTTGTATTGGTTTTCGATGAATAAAAGCCGATTCCGGACCTCTTCTAAGCAGATGTGTTCCCAAAAAGCACTGATATTTTGGCCACAAATAGCACAACACCTATAGTCGAGTCCATAGTCGCCGACCAGCGACTCATCAAAATCAGTCTCATGTGAGCTATAATTCACTCTCATTATGGTTAACAACAAAACTTATAATTAAAATAAAAGTGTATATAAGTGTGAAGTGAATGAGTATTAGACGTGTGTCCGCACAACCAGAATCGTTGACTAAATTATGGCATCAAATATGATTTTTATGAACACTTTATAACTTTGATTATCAATGCATACAATTCAACGATTGAATACACATTCAAAACACACACTCAAAACACTGGGCGATACATGTATTGAAAAGTGTTTGATAACTAATCATATTATTATAATTAGTAATTAAGTAAACAATACTGGCGTTTCACTCAATAGGGACTGTTGTTTAGTTGTATAGTGTACAACATTAGTGTACTTCATGTATGTTTCTAATCTCCACAATCATTAAACCGCATATTAAAACCAAATATACTATTCATATAGACTTATTATTAGGCATGTAATGCCATAGCATGTGCTGAGAGGGAGTCTTATGAAAGACCTGATAGAAATCAAGGCAAAGAAAAAGCGTTTCTAATCGCTTATGTATTTCTCTCTCTCTCTCTCTCTCTCTCTCTCTTTCACAATTCTCAGACATATATATAGACAAATTCATCTACTACATTTAATGGATACATGTCTATTGTATATAATGTCTGA